GTCTGAATTGTTTTTTTGTTTGGTATGGCCATCTTCAAAATAAGGAACTGAAACATGATATTGATTAGGATCACCACGACGTTTATCAGATTTTTTGTCTTTACCGTCTTTAGCCGGTTCTCCTACCTGCAATATAACGACGTTATTTTGCTTCTTCCCACTTTTCCCTCGTGTTATTTCAACTCTGATTACCTGGTTGTCCTGAACGTCTCTTTCATTTACTTGAGCTTGGTCTTGTTTTGCAGATTCCGTATACCCCAAGTCTTCGTATCTTCTGTCATTCTTAATTAATGCAGATTCCTGTCGCGGCCCTTTACTTCTGGGCATTGATTCCTGAAGAACATCATAATTCACTGAACCAGACCTACTTCCAGGATAAGAAGAGGAGGGAATAGAATTTAGGGTCCTTGTTGACCTGCTTGTCCGTCGGCTACGGCCACTTTTTAAACTTCTGTTCTGATTACCTCCTTCTTCCTCAAGAGCCCTCAGTTTGTCCTCTTTGGTAAAACTGCTCCCCTCATTGTCTTGAATCACAGAAAAGCGGCGACGTTTGGAGTATCCACGAGGTACAGACGGTGGAATTTGATCTATGTTGGGTTCATCTGGCGCGATGCCGCCTAACTCTTTGTCTATGACGTCTTGTAGGGAGTTTTTGCGGGATTCGTCGTACCATTTTGAGTTACGGCGGTGCCGTGTTTGTTCGCGCCTGATCCGGAGAGGATACAGGGCCGATGTCTCGCCGTCTGATCCTACGTTGTCATCAATGGTGGACAGCTGACTCGGACGCTTTTCAATTTTAGGTTTTTCTGCACTTGGGAATTGCGTGTTATTGACGTCACTTTTAATGTCTTCTACAGCGGTTTCGTTTCGCTTTATGCGTTCTGTTTTGATGAAGTCGGCTAACGAGGACCGTCTTCGTTTTGCATCCATCTACAACAGGATAAAGTTAATTAGGAGCCAGCAATTATGTTAGGACAACGGAATCAATTAAGCTTCAAACTGCGCGGAGCAAATTTTGTAAACTGAATTTGCTGATTCCTTTTACGAAAGCATACATGATTCAATATTTTTTTAATCAAAAAAGGAGTACCTACACATTGAGTGCCTTTCTGCTTTTGTTTCCATTAAAGGGAAAAAAATAAGAAATGAAAGAGTGATCCAAAGGTATCAATACAAAATTATTTCTGAATAGACGATTTTCATTCATTCATCTATTCGGTCCATTTATGAAGTAAAGCATTTAAAAGCCGTATTTATTCATTAGAGTATTATAATTGTAGACTTATTTAAAGACTTTTCTCTTTGAAATTGATTAGTATTTTCTGTGTAAATTTTAACGTTTGACTTTTCGTTATGGTATAAAGTAAATATGCCTCCAGTTTACGACATCCACACTCCGGACATTAAGAACCAATGCACCAAAACTCCAGTGGGAAATTTTGCTTCAGTTTCAGGAATGATCTTGACGACAAAGATTGAAAATGATAACAACTTAATAGAAATTGAATTAGTCATTAATTATTCATAAAATTAAAGTATTACACCGTAACTGTCATTTTTTTCCGTTGTATAAATGATTCCGTATACATAACTATGTAATCTTGAAATAAAAATAATAATTAAATAACTATATGTGTGCACGTTTGAAAGACAAAGCCAAGAGAAAAAAATCTTTATTAATCAAGATTTGGTTAATAATGGTTGGTAATAGATATATTTTATATGACAAAGAAAAAGTCACTCTGTCCAGAATATGAATATTTTGCATAGTTTAAAAAAATTAACATTCTGCTACAAGTTCAGCCAATTAATTCATTCATCGTTATAATCAAATAGATTGTAATCAAAATTATTTATTATTCATACCTTCTCAGCTAATGAAGCTTCCCCATGTCCATCTGTCCCTAAACCTTTGATCTTGTAATTTTATTTTTGTATTAAAGACCTGGACCTCATGTGGGATATAAACTAAGGGGCGTACACCGTATCCATCAAATATCTAGCTAATCAATGTCTGCTTAGAGTTTCAAAATGAGGCCAGGGCAACGTAACAACGAAATTCGATTTCACAGATTGAACACTGACACCTACAGTTTTTAATAACAAAACGTCAATTAGATACACAGCGTATGCGATATCTAAACAATATGTCAATTTAAGTACATCAGAATTTCCAATCTTCTGAAATATACACTGGGAAAAATATTTGGTTAACGGAATTTGGATGCATGATATATTTGATTATTCAACTTTGACTTGCGTTTTTGTCAGCTGACTAATTGAGAAACAACTTATCGTCTAAAAAATATTTGATATTGACTTGTGCGTGAACAAATTACTTCTTTTTGATAAAACATCATAAGAATTATTTTTGTTCACACTTCTACTATTCAGAATGTAAACAATGACAAATAAAAGCACAACAACCATTGAAACATTTTATTTACCACGAACCAATAAAATAGTTTACTGCTTACCCAATAGTTAAATTGATTGCCTGACAACATACATTGTGATAACCATGACACCATATAATGTGATAAACATATGCTTTTAGTTAGTTAGGACTGTCATCAAAATGTCGCCAACCGATGTCAATTGCGTAAGACAAATGTCAATCTGTGAAACTCTTATGAAATATAGAGAAAACGAAAACTACTAAAAGTAGAAAGTCTATTGAAACAATACAAATGGGGAGCGGAGCTAACACGTACCTCTTAAAAAAATCAGAGGTGGGATCAAGTTCCATGGAGTAATAGCACCCCTGTTGACCGGTTACATCCGCCGTGCGCTCCTTGTCCTGATTGGGGAAACAAACCGTAGATAGACAATTTTTATTGTAGTGCGTAAAATGGCTTAAATTCACAATTGATAAGAAAAAAGTTACTCAGAATTCTTCGTGTCATCCACTTGTTTGTCAAGAGATTGCCTTGTTTTAGATATTGATCGTGTGTAAAACATGCATTTGCGCATCGAATCAACTGAGAGAAATAAACTCCATATATGAAGGTAAATAGGGTATACTGCAACAAAAGTAAGGGGAGTTAACTACAGGTAAGTTAGAGTCGTCACTTGTTGCTACGTTATAATTAGCGTCTTTTTCTAATAATAATAATAATAAAAAAAGATATGTCAGAATCTGTGGAATCTTTACTTTGAATTCAAAGGGATATATCATATCAACTTAAGAAAGAAAATGAATATTGTGAATTGATAAAGTGACATTTCTAAATATTTAACAGAAGACCACTGCCAGAGTCAAACAACAAGGTAAAGAATTTTACAATTATGGTCATAAGGAAAACAACTGTGATAAATAAAACTTAGCAGTCATGGCGATGGTTAACAATGTTCAGAAGTAGGTCAATCTTTAAGGTAAAAATTCATGGTTTCAAAAGAAGGTGTACCGTCACAAGGGATACATATGGAGAAAAATGAAAGCTCTGACACCAACTATTCAAACGTTGTGGTCAAGGTTTCAAAAGTAGGTCAAACTCTAAGGTCAAAATTGTTGGTACCTTAAGGAATACATCTTTATCGTGTCGCTTTTTTTGGTAAGATAGTCATGTTGTATACTAGTATTTTATTTGATAGAATAAAGTATATCAGGAGAGACAATATAACAGCCCTAGCACTAACCAATTTAAAATCATGGCAAAGGTTCAAGTGTTTCAAAGGTAGACTTAAGTCCAAGGTCAAGATCAAAATTGCTGGTAACCAAATAATGACATTGTTAGGACATTGTTACACATGTGAAATAGCTTTAATTTTCCAAATGTTACGGCATAGGTTAAGGTGTTTCAAAAGTTGGTAAAATCCCAGGGTAAAGTCCAAAAGGTAAAAAAATATTTGTACAAAAAATCCCTATTAGATATAGAAACCCTCCATTTACGTTCAAAAGTTATGACCAGTTTTTAAGTTTGGTTATTTTCAGCAAAAAGCAAGTCAAACTGCAAGATCAAGATATCAACTATTTTTGTAGCCAAAGGAAGGGAAATACAACTGCTCCAACCAATCTAAAGTTTTAAGCAAAGTCAAAGCTTTTGCGGACAAACAGACGAGCACAGAGACAAACAGACGGAAAGACAGAGCAAGAACTATATGACCCCTTAACTTGGGCATATTAAAAAGAACGAAAGAGAGAGCTAGCTATTGAGTATAATAAATCAATGTAGAGACTTGGTCAGAAAAAATGAACATTTGGAACAGGTGAGGTAAGGATAGAATAAGCTGCTTGAATAGAAACTGTTCTCAAAGGAAAAACAAAATCATGATGTGTTTGTGAAACTCTGATGTTACATAATTGGTTTTTGTATGGTCACAAAAAAATTATTGAAGAAGTATAAATTCAAAGGAAAGTGAAACAAAACTATTCTGACTACTTCAGCTCATAAAATTAAGGTAGAGTTCTATCGCTGGTCATTATGACGCTAAATAATTACGTCAAACTTAATGTTTTTGCAGATTTTCCAAAATGTTTTTGTAAATTTTTATTTTGTTTAAAATGTTTTTGTAAATTTTTAAAATGTTTCTGTAGATTTTTAAAATGTTTTCGTAGATTTGAGCGGACAATAATTGATAAAAGCATATCTGCATTAATACACTACGTACATGACCTCCCACCTCTGGTATTGTGAACATTTGTTTCATTTGTACAGTTTATAAGCGGGGTAATCAATTTCTATCTGTGACACATTAAAACTTTAAAAGTAAAGTAAATATTCATATTGAGATAGCATTTGCTTTGTTTTACAATGCCTGTGAAATATCAATTAGCTTGTACTGAAATCACAAATGGATCGCCGACAGAGAGAATTTACTGAGCTGCACAAAGAGGTACGCTCGTCAATTCAGAGTGAGGAAATCAAAATATTTGGGTAAGGGATCAATGTCAACGGTGATGTTAAATTCCAGCAGAATTTTTAAATGTCATGTTAATCAGCGTCCCAATCGTTAGTGGTGTCTAAAAATATGTAATATCAATAAGCAAATCAAAGAGATGCGTATATCTCTCATTTTAATTTCAATATAATACAATTATATCGAGGTAAACTGTTTTCCTAATAAACTGGTGATGGTGGCCTGTTCAGAAGAAGGGTTTGTAGCAGACCTTCTCACGGCGACCACTGGCTTTGATCGCCTTAAACACAGCCATGAAGAGGGTTGGGAACTTGGTGAGAAAATACTTAGTGGGTTCCTCTAAAATCTCACGGGCTGCTTCAGTTCTACAAAATAAAAATACTCAAATAACACGTTGGTAACTTTTATACTGTTTCTTTTGTCACTCGTTCACATAAGTCTTGATAAGTCTTAGCATTTGCCCCTATCGATGTTGGACATTACGCTTAACTTACAGCTTATGTAACTTTGTTTTTAACAATGTTAGACAATAATAAAGTTTAATGTACAGTTTATGTAACATAGAAGTTGTTCTTAAGACATGTATCACTTATAGTTTATGTAACATAGAAGTTGTTCTTCAGACATGATGCATAACTTATAGATTATGTAACTTAGAAGTTGTTCTTTAGACATTATGTATAACTTATAGTTTGTGTAACATAGAAGTTGTTCTTAAGACATTATGTATAACTTATAGTTTATGTAACTTAGAAGTTGTTCTTAAGACATTATGTATAACTTATAGTTTATGTAACTTGGAAGTTGTTCTTAAGACATTATGTAGAACTTATAGTTTATGTAACTTGGAAGTTGTTCTTAAGACATTATGTAGAACTTATAGTTTATGTAACTTGGAAGTTGTTCTTAAGACATTATGTATAACTTATAAGTTATGTAACTTGGAAGTTGTTCTTAAGACATTATGTATAACTTATAGTTTATGTAACTTAGAAGTTGTTCTTAAGACATTATGTATAACTTATAGTTTATGTAACTTAGAAGTTGTTCTTAAGACATTATGTATAACTTATAGTTTATGTAACTTAGAAGTTGTTCTTAAGACATTATGTATAACTTATAGTTTATGTAACTTAGAAGTTGTTCTTAAGACATTATGTATAACTTATAGTTTTTGTAACTTGGAAGTTGTTCTTAAGACATTATGTATAACTTATAGTTTATGTAACTTGGAAGTTGTTCTTAAGACATTATGTATAACTTATAGTTTATGTAACTTGGAAGTTGTTCTTAAGACATTATGTATAACTTATAGTTTATGTAACTTGGAAGTTGTTCTTAAGACATTATGTATAACTTATAGTTTATGTAACTTGGAAGTTGTTCTTAAGACATTATGTATAACTTATAGTTTATGTAACTTAGAAAGTGTTCTTAAGACATTATGTATAACTTATAGTTTATGTAACTTGGAAGTTGTTCTTAAGACATTATGTATAACTTATAGTTTATGTAACTTGGAAGTTGTTCTTAAGACATTATGTATAACTTATAGTTTATGTAACTTAGAAGTTGTTCTTAAGACATTATGTATAACTTATAGTTTATGTAACTTAGAAGTTGTTCTTAAGACATTATGTATAACTTATAGTTTATGTAACTTGGAAGCTGCTCTTTACTTACAGTTTCTCGAAGTGTAGACAACAGTTGTAGATGAAGAGAACTAATTCCACTAGAGTACACTTGTACTGACGGAAGGACCTCATCTCTTGCATCAGAATCGGCTCTACATGACTGGTCTGTATACCATAAATCAAGAGAATTATCTCAGACTTATACATGTACACGCTATATAAAGTCTTTGTTTCTTATTTTGTTATAGATATTTTCAAAATCTTTGTTTGTTCACAAATCAAAGACATTGTACCGCTATACCGCAGCTATAATGCATGGATAAATAAACTGGATTTGGAAAAATATTTCAGTCTTGCACTTTCAAGTGAAAAATTTCGATATTTTACTGACCCATTCATTCAGAGTGTCGTCCTGTTCGGCAGAATTCAGTATATCTATCATGGTAACAGCACCACTCACGGCTCCCGACGTAGGAACTCTGGAAATGAAAGAAAAGAGACCCGTCAGCCACAACGCTCACCCACAGCATCTCTTTTTCTTTAGTCCATATATTTCTTCGTAAATTAAACCTTATTTATGCTATTACTACTAGACAATTTGTAATTATACAGTTAAATTTATTGCAGTATATCACAAAAAAAAATTCCCAACCCTACAGAGCATGGCTCTTAATTAAATGGAAGAGATTATTCTGAAATTGCTTTTTGCCAGTAACATAACTTCTCAATTTAGCTGTGTTAAGAAAATTTAAATTTGTGGTCATCGGAAATATATATCCTTCTTTTAAAAATGCAATAGCATTTTACTGACCCATGCTTCATGTCTCTGAGAACATCTGAACCGGCAATCAGAACAAATCGGACCTTCTTCTCATCGGCCCAGAAATAAGGGTGCCTAAAAAATAAAAAGGTAAATAACTCAATTTACTATAAATTTTGCGAAATTGTCGCCACATTTACAACGTTTGTCACATTTATGATGCAGGGGGTACCTTGAAAGTATGTATGGTAAATGAAGTCCATTATGACAGCTTTGCGAAACATTATTTTTAAACAAAGAATGTTATAATGAATCAAGATATATCCAAGAAGTATTTTCCCCAAAATCTTTACAATTGCAATACTAGCTAAAAACAATCAATCTAGACGCTGCAAATGTTGCGATGTGACACGTACTTGAGAATGTCTGGAAACTCTGGTCGATCTGCTGGGGGCATTACGAGCATGTCGGACACGAGGCTGGCCAGTTCCTTGTTCTGGTGGGAGATCTTGGGCCAGTTGGCCTGGATGCTGACCGTGATCTCAAGACTGTTCTCACCATAAGCGTGCATCCCGCCAGACATAATATAACAAATCATCATTCCAGCAACCTACGGAGAATTAAAATTACATAACCTTATGTTCAAAGATAACTTACAGCTAAATGTGAAAAAATGCACAGTTATTTTTACTTGTACGCCTGACTTAGCTTGATGGGGTTCACCTGAACTCAGTCGTAGCGACCCTTACCTGTATGTCTGACTTGATGACTTGATGGGGTTCACCTGAACTCGGTTATAGCAACCCTTACCTGTATGTCTGACTTGATGGAGTATGGCTCGGACTCAGTCATCACCTCCGTTGGTGTCCAACAATTCCTGTCCACTGTTGGAATTCAAAAGACCAGTTTTAAACATGTAAAAATACGCATGATCCGCGAGATTGAACTCAGACGAAAAGAAACAAAAAAGGGAAAAGAAACTCCAAAAGAATTAACTCACCTGATATCGCCTTACTATTCATTAACTGAATTTGTTTCGTTGTAATTCTTGGAAAACCATATTCACTGAGGCGAAGTCGACCCTCAGTGTCCACCAAGACATTGGACGGCTAAAACAAAGAAGAACAAGCTGCAAACAGGTACAGGTACAAGGAATCACAAAAAATTTTTTTTTTTACATCTGTCAAATACTTTGGTTTTGGGGCGTTGGATGTAATAGTATATTTTCTTAAAATTTTCTATGGTGCTTCACCATGATATTTCCGTGAGGGATCCCACAGTTCTCGTGCAGTGAGGTCAGTCCCTTGAGGAGCTGCCAGGTGAGTCTGGTGACCGTGAGGGGGTCCACTCCCTGATTCAGCCGCAGCATGCTCGTGTACTCAGCCAGGGTGTACTCGTGGAGCTCCATAGCCAAGAAACACACCTCATCCTCTATGGCGAATGACTACAAATCAGAAAATAAAAGTAAAATAAAATGAGGCAGTGACAATAAATAATGGTGCTTATAACTTGCAATGTTTATGCATTTAGAAAAGATAATATGCTATTGGAATCCCTCAAAATCAAACTTTTCAGCTTGTCTTGTGGGCAGCATGGTGGATCTGTCATCAATATCACGTGTTCACCACAGAATACCTGAAACAGTCTTCACATCAAATTAATAAAATGTAAATCCTTGATAAAAAAAAATTAATTTGGCAAAGTTCGAGGCTGAAGAATACCATACCCACCTTATACTTGACAAGAAAGAACTGATTAATATTATCTGATACTAAGGTCTGTAGGAAGCCTTTGTCGAGTGGGCGGTTCTTTAGGTCGACCATCTGGACTGCCACCTCCGAACCATCACACAGAAAACCAAGTACGGCACCCTCGTCCCTGGAAACCAAAAAAAGTGTTTACTAAGAAAAACAAATGTCTGGAGAGGAAAACTTCAGTCTCAAGAAATATCTTTGAAAGAGGGCGAGGATAAATAATTTACTCACGAATACGAAATCTTGTATTTATCGTATTGTACCGGGAGGATGATATCCCCAACACGTCGTCGTAGATGCTCTGGTAGTTGGTATATCTCCTTCAGTTTTGACCTCCATCTAGAACTCTTCTTGCTCCATGTGTTTATACATGCCTTTGGTGATTGAGGAATCACGTCACTCAGCTTGGTTTCCTCCCCACATTTCGCCATTGAGGACTCACTCCTGCGACACGCCTCATCTTGGTTTGTATTCTCTGTGTATCCGTTTTGAGAGTGTCCACTCTGATGTACTGTATTAAAATCGTGGACGCCATTGGTCATTGAAACTGGTTGGTGATTTGTAGCGTAAACACTAGGGCTACAGAGTGTATTATGGTTTCCTTGATAATTCAAGTTGTTTTTATGGGGTTCCTCGGGTACTGGCATCGGTGCTTCTTGGCGCATTATGTTTTCAACCTCTTGATTGGATAACCCTAGTGCAGAGGCGTAATACTGAAAATCGTGGAAGTAATTGGTGTGCACAGCAGCAGGATTTTTGCTGAACTGGCGGTAGTAATTGTGGAGCTGAATGAATTGTATCAACTCCATCTTGTGACAATTTAATGTCAGCCGACTTTCGTCTGGGGGATTTTCTTCAGGATCATGAAATCCAGGAAACAAATTTACATGCACGTCATCCTTTTCATCACGGAGTTCCTCAGGAAAGCCGATTTCATCCTGCTGATGATTGATAGTCAATGCATTTCGAAGTATACTGTCTCCCAGAGGACAGTTCCCTGAAATTGTTTCCACTTCTTGTTTGTCCCCGTCAGACATGGAGACTTTGTTCCTGTCTTGAAGAGCCAGGCGTGGGTCAGGTGATAAGGTAATGCCAGTAGCTTCCAAACCATCCAAAAAACTTCTCAAAGCACCTTCCCTATCGCCCTCCGGTACTTGCCTTAGGCTGGTCTCAGCTGGTTGTACTGGATTCGTGGACTCTTTAAGCTGCAATTTACGTTCATGACCGATAGGTTTGATAACGGCTACTTTTGTGATATTTGTTTCAACGGTTTCTTGATGGCTGTCGTCATACGCATTCTTTAAAAGTTCTGCTTCTAGTTCAACCAGTGTCATTTTTCTACAATTTTCATCCACTGAATAATCAATTTTTGTTCCATACGATGTATATTTTTCTGTCGTTTCGACTAGTTTGGATAAATTTACTTCGCTTGAGTGGTTAACAAGACCAGTGTCTGCAGTGTATGGAGTAGAATAAATATTTTTCGTGTCGAATTTTTCAATATGTCCTGATTTGATTCTATTTCGGGATGGCTGTGTATCATTTGAAAGAAACGAAGAGAGTTCTCTGTTGCACGCCACATATTGTTTGGTGTTATTTTCAAAACCGTTAGAACTAAAAAGAGATTGACCGTCCCTTCCTTGTTGAATTTTCGTATTTGGATTAGGCTCTGAGTTCGTTTTAAATGGAATCATTTCCTCTTTGTAAGTGTGAGTGGGTTTTTCTGTGTCTTTCTTCCGGCTGTGTTCTCCTTGGTGAGCAAAGTTTTTATAATCAGTCTTTTCTGCCTCTGACACTGTGGTATTCATGAACTCAACTGCAACATCTTTTAAAGTAGGAGCTGGAAATTTACCCCAAGGACATGCGTTTTGTTTTCCAGTAGTGGTTGAGGTAGTGTTGTCGGACAGAATGATATCGCTATTAGCATCTGCTAGAAAAATAAGCCCTGTAGCATTTTCGGAGGGATCACAGAGTGTATCCATATTAACATTGCCTTTTCTCCGTGATTTGTTGTATCCTTTACAACTCGAAGCCTGCAGCTGATTATTAACTTCGTGAAAAGCTTGAGTTTTGGCACAAAAAGGAGTGTTCTTGTTATCTGTAAAGGATACAGGTTGCTGGGTCATGTGACGGCTCTTGCCTTCTTCTGAGCTTTGATCAATGTATGCTGTTTCACGTCTTTTGTCCCAAGTTGTCAAAGAACAGTCAGCGTTTGAAGACACCTCTGAATGTCCTGATAAGGGTACATCAATCTCCTCGCGTTTAAGATGGCTTTCTTCTACAGTGTGTCGAACATTCTTTTCAAAGTCTGACGTTTTCATCCAGTAAACGTCGCTTTCCACTTCTGTGGAGTTTTGCTTGCTGTACTCCACCCATGCCGGGACCTCTTCGCCCGGTTCATTAGTAATAGCCGCCAGGTATTCGTCACTGTCCCAGTGCTCAGCTGTGGATTCAGACTTCATCGATTCGGGAGAATCCTCCTCGTCCTCCCACTTTCTTGCCATGCTTTGTTTGAGAGAAGGAAATTCTCTCCAGTCATCTGTTTGGATTGGAGAAACAGATTCCACCACCCGAGGATTTGGTTTATTATTCTCGGTATACGCTGTCTCTTGGTTATTCCTCTGACAAAGTACATCCGACCATTTGCGTGAATCAGAATTCTGGATTTTCGGCGTACTATTATACTGAGGTGAAGGTCTTGACCTCTCAATCTTCTTCTTGCCAGGCCTCTTCGGACTATTCAGTGTATCTATCTTTTGTTGATTTTTCTTTCCAATAACCTTTGTCCACGACTCATACTGCTCAGCAAAACACTTCTCACTGTCTTCCTGCTGAGTTTCATCAGAAAACATCTGGTTTGTTTGCAGGTCTTCGCAATATGTCCAGTTCTCATCATCTCTCTGTTTTGATTTCTTGGTCTTCTTCCTATTGTTCTCTTTACTGTTGGCTGATTTATTCATTGCAGCATGAAATTCTTTATTTTGACTGTCATTGACATTATCTGTATCATATGGTTCTGTCCTCATGTCTGCCTCACGAGCCCCAGTCAGTTCACTGACTAGATTACATTCCTTCTTACACTGTTCGTGAATCCCGATGTGATCCCCAGAATCTTTATTGGTATGAACTGCGTAGGTTTTTTCATCCTCTATGTCTGGTGTATTGGAATCACCCGCCTCTTTCTCCTTAGGTTGTTCAGTTGTAATACCCTCCTTAGAATCCCCGGTCTTCTTTTGTTTTTCTCGCAGTTTTTTCTGCTTCTTTCTTTCTCTTTTTTTATCCTTTCTAGTTCTTTCTCGTTCCTCTTCGTCTAGCAATTCTTTCATCTTGGAATTTCTCTGATTTCGCTGAAGATTATCAAACTCGTCCCAAAACCTCGTCCACAGGGTATGCCCCTTTTCCTTCAGGACTTCGTCGTGGTGCTTGAGAGACGCAAATTTTCCTCTTAAGGATATGTAAGGTTCAATTTTGCTTGTATTCTGTTCTATCCAAGTCTGGCAAATTTTGCACTCGTTAATACACACAATGGGATAAAAGACGGAAAGCATGAACTCTGTTGAGTGTTTTCCGGAATCTGTGTAGAATTTCAGAGCTCTGAGACAAAATTCCGGTCCTCTTGCTTGCAAAAACTGTCTGGCGAATCTTTCGTCTATCAATGAATTGTACCGATACATGCAGGAGCAGAAGACAGTACACGCGCTACCGACGACCTCGTGATGACGTAGGAACTTCTGAACGGCTGAGAGCATGTTTGGGATAAGCTTATCTCGGTACAAGATGTCACGACCTGGTTCAACTTTGGACAAATGTAGGAAAACAGGAATTAACGTGTCCGTGAAAAAGGCATCGAAATCTGCGTCCTCAACCATACTTTTCATCCGATCGATTCGATTCTTTATTTAAAAAATTCAAGTTTTAACAGAACTTTCAAATGAACAAAATTGAATTGCGATACTTGGGGTAATCATTGAATAAGTTAATATTCATTGGATTAGTTAAAAATAGCATTTGGACCATTCGTAAATAACACGACAGATTACAGTATGTACCTTGACATAGACCTCCCTGTCTTTCTGGGACATTTTATACAGTATGTGTTTGACAAACTCATCTCCATTGTTTTCATCCTCGAATCCATAACAGACTGCTGTAAAGTGGTACTGAAACAAACAAAGGCACTATAACTTCCCTTGCACAATTTGCATTGCTTGGAAAAGACGTGGACAGGGTCGGGGTGGGGAGAGCGTCTAAGTTTGATTTCTATGTTATTCATTTCTTTGAAATTTTGGATGTTCCCTTCTCTGATCCTACTGAATGTATATGAGAGAAGAACTAAATAATTTATGTCACGGAGCAGTGAGCAATTTAAAAACGGGGGGGGGGGGGGGGGGGGGGGGGGTAAGCTCCTCATACAACTCTGTCTTGATTTGCAGTGGCGGACTTAGAAGGGGTTGCAACCCTCCCTCTCCCCATATGATAGGATTTGAAAAAGGACTAAAGCTGTGTAAAAATTTAAATTGAATTTTAAAACTTGTTTTAGTTGTTTGTCCTTGTTTATCACTATCAACATTGTGCAAGCCTTTTAAAAAATACATATTAATATCTAACTCAAGTCCGCATAGGTTTAATGGCTCCAACCTTTTATTCCTTTGTTGAAAAAGATATTTGATTGCTTATAACTATGTCTTTATAAATAATTAGATACAAAATCCTCTAATCATTTGATTACGGATTTTAAGGGAAAAATTGTTCGTGTACAATGTGCAATTGTATATTTTGCCTCAATTTTCTGTTTTGCCTCAAATTTCTGAGATAAGTATAAACATTTATTGACATAGATTAGGTTTGTAACTAAGTGCATTATAATTTTTTTTAAATAAGTAAACCGCTTGCCAATTGAATTCATACATAATCAATGGCAAACTGAAAGTGTGTGTGTGTGAAGGGGGGGGGTAGTTGAAAGAGAAAAATATTCCAACCAAAAAAACTTGACAAGCAAAAATAATGAGTATTTGTCCATCGTCCACACAAAATTCTTAATTATTTCGGGTGGGGGGGGGGACGTCTTTCCCAAAATCAGGCCGGTAGCAACGTTGTTCAAAGTTGGCTGCTACAACCTCCAAAAATCTCACTAGCAAAGAGATAAACAAACCAATATGAAAAATAAATAAAAATGCTCAAACCGCAGAAAGTTGTCTTTTTCTTTTTCTTACTTTTCTTTTGGGGGGTGTGTTCAAGCAGTATCAATGTAAAAAAAAATGAAAAAATACCTATTTTAACAACAACTAAAAACTATTCTCGGACACTTGACCCCGCCCCCGGCGTTTCTCTGGGCATGGGCATATATATATATTTTTTTACTGCTTTGGAAATAAAAGTGATCGGGTTCGAGATTCTTCAATACACATGGTTGTTGTCTTTCGGTTTCGAAACGAACTTGGCGTTGACCGTGGCCTTTACATCATTAAATTAATTCACAGTGATGTCGTATTGTCGAGAAGAAGGTATGTTTTGAGAAATCTATATACAGAACTTGTCTCGTGCAAATACTTGGAGCATTCTCCAAATATGTGATTCATTAACATTGATTCAGTTGTGTTGACACTGACAGGTTATTTTTAGCCTTACTTAGTTAGAACAGGCAAAAGATTATTTTTTTCAACACCTTCATTACTCTGCGTAAGAAATTTCTGGTTTATCTAAGGAAAATATATTTGCAAAATGTCTGAAATGGAAATATTGAAAATTGAACCAAATTTCTTTCTTCTAACTTTTGTTTCATCAATTATCATTTTGATAGACTTCACTTCAGTATATAAATATATTGAATTTCAGCAAAATTTGTTTTTAAAGAAGCCCAGTTTTTAACTGTATTTTTTATCAGTGAAATACTCAATCTAATTAAAATCAGACTTCTTACTACTAGTTAGATATGCATCGTTTCCTCAAACCACAATATATAGAGTTTGTGCTTTTAAAGAAGTCAGAATTTATTTTACTTTGTGAAAGTTTGTCATTTTTTGAAAATAAAAACTTAAATTCAGATAAATGCTTTAAAGTAACAATTCATTTCCTGGTAACTAAGAATCTGTCACCCTTCGACTTGAAACTAGAGGGAATAGATTAACCTAGCTGAACTAATATTAATGTACATGACCACATCTGAATGATGCCATATCCTTGATAATTTTTTTTATAAAATTGCAACTACTGTCTGCATATTAATATAGTGATTTTCTCAGCTACATTGTTTTATATTTTTGTGGAGCTTTAACAGTTCAGTTAATTTCAGGTAAAGATGGTAAGGACCGGATTGTGTTTGCCAGTAGAGAGGAGGTGTCTACCCCCAGTCAGGCCACGATAGCCCAGGAGGAGGAGGAAATCTACGACGGACCCAGTAAGTCACCACTCCATCTGTTAATGTAACAAGAAACAAAGGGGAATAGTTATAGAAAAAAGTCACCACTGAATCTGATAGTTTCCCAAGTAACAAGACCGAATAGTTATAGAAAATGTGTTTCAATAGTCCATCTGTTGTTTGCTCTCTTCCTAGTGATTAAAGTATAAACAGGGGTTTAATTACCTGGACAACACTTGAAAATATTCCTCCCTTAGTAAGTTAGTTATAATTTATAATCGTTATTTAGAAATGAGCATGATGAATGTTTATTTGTTTTTAAGCTGGATTTGTGCAGCCTAACGGTGACCTGAATTTTGGCTGCCCCTGTGTGGGGGGCCTCCACGCAGGACCCTGTGGGTACGAGATGAGGGAGTTCCTCTCCTGTAACTATTACAACTCTAAGGACAAGGAGGATCCCCGGGGGCAGGGCTGTGACGACAAACTGGACACTATGATGTCCTGCATTCAGAAACATGCAGACTATTACAGGGAGAAGATGTCTGGTGATGATGATGAAGAGCAGGAAGATCCCTTCGCCATCACAGAAAACGAGGAAGATGAAGTCTCCTCCTCCCACATTGACGTGACCAGTAGTATTGTGAAGGACAAGGAGGAAACACCAGAGACTGGTTCCCAGTCCTGATGTCTGTCTGGGAACTAGTTTTCTTGTCTTTTTTCTTCTTTGTCATGGATATGAATGTTAATATTAAAAATTGAGTGGTTTTACAGTAGCTAGTAGACTGATATTTGATGTTTCTCAGATTATACAATTTGTTTTAATTAAATAGACAATTTTGTAATAATTTTGGCAGTTAGCAAATGAGTGTAAGCTATTGTGTGAAAATGTGAGGTTATTTTGTTGTAGGATTTATTTTTTTGTATCATTTTATTATAAGTTTGATTTACATCACCTTTTCCTTTTTGTATTGAATGGCATTATAAATGGTGTATTATTCTGAACAATGTAGCATTACAGTCACTGACAAATTTTATAAATTGACAGTTGCAGTGAAGCTGCTTTGATTTCAAATATTTTTGACACGTACATTTTTAATTTAAATTTTGTTGTAATTCATGGCATTACTCCTTCATATTCTTCAGGAGGAAAAATTTATTTGATAGCTTTAAGATTTATTTTTGGAACAATCTATGCTGTATAAATGCAAATTTAACTTATACTGTTTCAGGGAATTACAAATGTACTTGCATTGTTAGTTCTTTCGCTAAATATTGATATCTGGTACAATCCCTAGACATAAAGACCTTAGAGAAAGCATTTCAACCTTGCACTTCATACTCAGTTATGTTTTCTTGAACATATATATATCTAGGGATTGATTTTATCAAAAGACTACAATTGTAATGTATAATACAAGAAAAATACTATCATAGTTTTTTTTATGATGAAGTAGATTTGTTTACAGATAAATAAAAGTGAGACAAAAATACCACCACATCTTTTAGTTATACCCCACGCAACAAGTTGGAGGAGGTATAACGTTTTTGACCCGTTTTTTAAATTCCAATTCCTTTATTTTTTCAGGGAATTTTGACACTTTGAGTTTTGGGGGAGCATGGGGTATATGAGCTTGCTTACCTTTTCTTTCATTTTCTAAGAGTAAGGGAAGCCAGTGAGATAAGGAATGAAAAGGGTTTTAAAATAGTGCTGAAAAATTATTGTTTTATCTAGTTTATAGTGTGATAGTAAGGGGGGGGGGTCGCAAGTAAATAGGTGAAATATGTGGAGATAACAAACATTATTATATGATTGATTAAGTTCCATCTCTCTGATTGGCTGAGATCCAACTATGTTAGAAAAATATTACGTTGTATTGACCTGCACGTGACGTTCCAGGTCAATACAAAGATTTATTTCCTCTACATTGATCTAAAAATAGATTGGGAAATTCCAAATTGATACAAATTGTTTTAAAAAGCTATTTAAACGACTGTTTTCATGTGAACAAAACATAAGCGAATTTATATTTTAGGTGAGGGTGGTAAGAGGGGATGCAGGGACCCCCCACCCTCCAACACTTTCACTAAACAACAATTTTCTTTTTACTTTTTGGCAGTCAGGTTTCCTTGATAATACTCCTTCCTTTCAAATTCTATCCTATAAAAAGGACTGACATTATATATATCTTTCATGGCAACTAAAATTGATTTATAAAAACATTTCAAATTGATACGACTGGTAAGGTTTATTAACATTTTAATTCTGCTACTCTCTTGTATTTGGCTAGGACTTAATAAAATGCAAACAAGTAATGAGCTGTATCATTTTATTAGTGAATCATATAATAAAACAATTATTGCTGTTTTTTCGGTCAATACAATGATTTAGCCATCTTCGAAGTACAATATTCACCTCGCCCTTCGGGCTCGGTGAATATTGTACTCCTCAGATGGCTAAATCATTGTATTGACCTCAAAAACCAGCAATAATTGTATAATATCTGAGCTCAAATGACGATTAAACATTAAAAAATAGGAGCGAGCTAACATGGACCTCCAAAACAGCAGAGATGAGATCAGGTGCCATGGAGGAGCGAGCATCCCCTGTCAGTTGCTCATTCCCACTATGTGTTCCTTTTCATGTTTAAGATTCATATAGGAGTACCATTATTATTATAATGCTAAACCCTCATCATCATAATTTTTCTGTTTTGGGCCACACAGCATGATCTATTAGGTCTAGTTTGTTTTATTTTAAACTTTTGTGAATTTTATATTGTACTTACGTGACCATTGTTTGATCCCCCACTTACTGTATTTAGACGATACTTACATCATCCTCAATAAGAATATCTGCCCCCTCATCAATTAAAATGTCTGCTACTTTAGTGTCTGCCTTCATAGCAGCTAACATCAGGGGTGTACAACCACTCTGTAGGGCAGAGAATAACAGGACAAGTTAACAAATTTTGTGGGATGTATAGAACAGAGATAAAAAGACTAATGTAGCATTTCTCTATGTAAACTTACATTGTTTTGGATGTTGATGTCAGCACCACAGCTGAGAATGACCTTGACACAAGTCTCCCAGCGCTTCTCAACAGCAAAGTGTAGCATAGCGTGACCAGTCTAAGATATCAAAGCAATAATGAGCATTTAATATTCACATGTAAAATGAACCTAGGCATACTGCAAATTACTACATGTTTGGTATTCTGATAATGGTTCTCTTAATTTCAATGAAGTAATAAAGCTAAACATCATATGAGATTATTACCTTGTTCCACATGAGATTCTGAACTGTCTATTACACCATTACCTTGTTCGATATGAGATTTTGAGCTGACTAATTTACCATTACCTTGTTCCTGTGGTTGATGTCTACTTGGGCTCTCTGTGGTATGAGATTTTGAGCTGACTATTTTACCATTACATTGTTCTGTATGAGATTTTGAGCCGACTATTTTACCATTACCTTGTTCTATATGAGATTTTGAGCTGACTATTTTACAATTACCTTGTTCTATACGAGATTCTGAGCTGACTGTATCACCATTACTTGTTCTGTATGAGATATTGAGCTGACTATATTAAATTACCTTGTTCTATATGAGATTTTGAGCTGAATATTATACCATTACCTTGTTCTGTATGAGATTTTGAGCTGAATATTTTACCATTACCTTGTTCTGTATGAGATTTTGAGCTGACTATTTTATCATCACCTTGTTCTGTATGAGATTTTGAGCTGACTATTTTACCATTACCTTGTTCCTGTTGTTGATGTCAACTTGAGCTCTCTGTGGTATGAGATTTTAAGCTGACTATTTTACCATTACCTTGTTCCTGTGGTTGATGTCTACTTGGGCTCTTTTGGTATGAGATTTTGAGCTGACTACATTACCATTACGTTGTTCCTGTCGTTGACGTCTACTTAGGCTCTCTGTGGTGTGAGATGTTAACCTGACTAATTTTACCATTACCATGTTCTGTATGAGATTTTGAGCTGACTATTTTACCATTACCTTGTTCCTGTGGTTGATGTCGACTTGAGCTCTCTGTGGTATGAGATTTTGAGCTGACTATTTTACCATTACCTTGTTCCTGTGGTTGATGTCGATTTGAGCTCTCTGAGGCCACAGTGTGTTGACCACCTTGGCATCCCCCGTTTTTATTGCTACCATCAGAGAGTTGTTTCCCTCCTGTAATAACAAGAGTTTTCAAAGCTTACTTCGGTGAGCTTATACTTTCTATACAAAAATTAAAGCAGATTCTGGGATTATTCTTCAGGGAGGGTAATTTTAAATGTTTTCCCGCCTACCGAGTTTAGGGTATTGACGTCAGCTCCGAAGGAAAGAAGAAGTTCTATGGCTTCCACATGACGATTCTGTGCTGCCAGCATCAGCGGTGTGCTACCATCCTATAATTAAGATTTAAAAAATCATGATTAATGGCTTGATACCATCCTATAATTAAACAAAATGTGTTTGTGTCAGTGAACACTGATGCCCCCGTATGACAGCTAATGGCGAAGGTTGAGAAGTTTCTCAAATGCAAGTCGAGCTCCAAGGTCAAGGGGGCAAGTTTGGTGGAACCCAAAGACAGGTATTTCACAAGGAATACACCTGTGAATTAAGAAAGCCATAGCCCCTTCCAGTCAAGAGTTATGGACAAGTTTAAGGTTTTACGGACAAACAGACAGCTAGAAGGACGGACAAGATATTGTCTCAAGGAATCGAAATACCTTCTATGGAAAAAGCAGCTATTGCATAAATTTTGCTAACTTAACTTTTGATAAAGGTACAGTCCAATAATTAAAATGATTTGCTCATCTATCATCGAAGTTGTCCAAGGAATAGGGGAGGATTTTTAAATGGGCATCCTCCCCGTATTGTTTGAACATATGCTGTTAATCTCGCACTACTTGATTGTCCTTTTTTTTGTAGTTATTCCAAAATTTAGAAATTAACAACGGTCAACTTGAACTCCTGGACTCCTGTAATTCATAAAACTTCTTAACATCTTCTTAACATATTCTTAACTTTAAGGAAACCCACTTTCAATCACATCCTAAGGAAAAAAAGGGTAGTAAATTTAATATATGTGGATAAATCCTCAATATTACTCTCCTTATTTAAATATTTAAATATAAAACGAAAACAACAGAAGCTTACGGCCTAAGTTTCATTCATGCTTCGTCAATAAAAGCTCAGAAGATAATTCTTGAAAATACTTCGTAATTTTTTTTTCGGGGATTGGGGGTTAAATCCGCCACAAAATACAAATAACGAGATAACAAAATGAACGATTTATACAAGATTTTAAGGTTTGCTCCTTACTGTCATTAGCGTCTCGATTGTATAACTGTTTACAACATACCTTCATAAAATTGTACCACCTTAAGTACTTACCGCCATACAAGAATCGTTTGGATCTCTCCCAGCTTCCAGAAATCGTCTCATCCCTGCTGTGTGTCCAATGGCTGCAGTCAGGCAGAAGGGGTCCATTCCTAACTGGAACTAAAATTATTGAACTCTTTTTATATACTAGCTGCAGATATGTAGCGTTATGGTTTTATAATTTTACCATAACGCTACTTTAATTAATTTACCGCGCAATATTTTTTGCGCACTTTTGGGTAGAATTTCTCCACTTTCCAGCATTGATCAATTAACTACCTTTCATTCCCTAAAAATAACTAATCTGTATATTTTTTTATCTCTTAATTGATGATAAACTCGCTTGATTAAAATAATTTGTTAGATTGCTTAAAATTCACTCCAAGCGAGTTTATTGCCTGTTGAGACAATAATAAATGGGTGGGAAGTGGATAAAATATACATATTGGCTGCAGAATATGTCTAGAATTGGGGAGTGAAAGGTAGCTGATTGAGCAATTCTAGAAAATGGAGATATTCTCCCCAAAAGTGCGCAACAAATATCGCGCCGTAAATTGCACCTTTTTGCATTACGGGATCTGTAGCGTTATGGTCAAAGACAAATATATAAAACGATAACGCTACAGATCTGCAGCTATTTATATACATGTCTGTAAATGAAGAAAGAAGAAGAGTTTCGACTTAAAAGATAAAAAACACAAACTTTGTTTAAAGAAATCAGCAATTAATATTTCTGATAGTATATAACGTTTACAAGGTATAAAGAATTCGAATAGTATAAGTTATACGGTATTGACAAAACAAACTTTATATATAACATAAATCAGGTTATGAATCTATCAGATTTCGCTAAAAATTCTGCTTATACTATAAGCAGAATTTTTAGCGAGGATTTAATTTTGGCATTATTAGCGAGGGTGCTTAGATCGCTAAAATTGAATATCGCTAAAAAGTAATTGCGTTTTTTATATTAGTACCTTCTTTAGTGAGTATTTTAAAAATCGCTAAAATTACATATCGCTAAAAATAAAATACCAATTTTTAAGGGCAAATCGCTAAATTTACCTCTCGCTAAAATTTCCACTTATACGGGATATATAGAACTATGTAGAAACGAAACAGTCTCGTACCTATCGCCAAAGAAAGCTTACATTTTTTTATATTATAGAGAATTATTATTTACGTAATTTCAAATCAATAATGCGTCAAATTTTTGTTTGTTTCTATATTTTTTTTAGTTTGGTCAATGGGTTATTCTTATTTGTAGTTTTTAAGTTTAGCATAACAAATTAAATTTCAAAGGAATGGAGTTTCAAAGGAATTAAATGTGAGTAAATAAAAAAAAAATATCCTCATACCAGATCATTCCTGGAAGACAGCTTGAGAATTTCCTCTGGGATGTTCTCTCTCTCCTTGAGAAGTTTCTCTAACATTTCTATCGTCTGTTCTGCAATATTTGGAATCGTCTGCTGTTTTTCTGTCATCTTCTCTCCTTGTTCGTGGATGCAGACGTCACCCACACAAAGCAGACACTTCTTTTTGGAAGTTTTCTTTGATTTTAATTTCATTCTTCAGCGCAGCAGATAATAACCGTGTATTCTCTATGTAGAATATCTGAGTTGTTTACCGTGACGTCATGACATTCTTTGACATTATTTTGGCGGAGTTCGGAATTTGACGCCAAATGACGTTACGTTCATTTATGTAAAATAAAAAAAAGGAAACATTTTATCAGTGAAAATGATGGGCGGATCAGTCGATTTCAAGGCATTTCTCGTTTCGTTTGAAATTACTTTATTAAAGAAAAAAAATAGCATAGGCCTATGTGTCTTAAATTTGATGTTCTTTAAAATGTAACCTTAACAAAATGTTGGTAATTTTTTTTTTAACAAAATGGGTGTACATGTATTATTTTTAAAACCTTTATTCGGATGTATTATTGTTCCTTTGCCCAAAATATTACTAGGAAAGGTTGCTCTATCAAACAGTACAAATGGTTTAATAGAAAATCATATATTTTTTTTTTACAATATGAATAGAGTTTAACATTATCTCAGCCAAATTTTTTATACTACGCAGCATATAGATTAGATAAATTATGTACGTTTTGAAGACATTCAGAAGAGACCTTATAAAATTAATAAATATATAAAGGGAAACCGGCGATCTTAAAATATGACGAAAGCAAAAGAGTTAATTTTCCTTAAAATAACCAATGCTTGTATTAAGTGAAACTGATTAACGATGCTATGGATAATATTACATATGATGTATATTTTGAACTGTAAATGTATGTTACTTTAATAAAAACAACTGGGTTTTTTTTTTAATTTAACTTTATAAAATATAGTTTTAATCTCTATGCTGTAAAACATGGAAATTTTAACTTTACAGAGAAATAAATTATGTTCAATCATGTTGAGTTACCTCGCTTTGCTCTGTATAAAAAAAAAATAATTGAATTTTTTTTACGATTCTGTCAATAAATGTATGTACATAAATATTAATAGCAAATAAACTATACATTTTCCTGTTTTTACATAATTGTGTCTATATACTATTAGCAATATAAACGATACATTTTTCACCAAAATTTATGTCGAGACCCGTGGATCAAGGACTCGGGCTTTAGGTGAGGCAGCATGCCTAGAGCTCCAGTACTAGTATTTGTGGTGACTGGACCTTTTTTCACATTTGTGAAATAGTTCGTGTTTTTAAAAGGCATCTCTGAATGAAGTTCTTTAACTTCATATATTTTTGTAAATTGAAAAATAATAAAGTTAGCCATGTGTTGCACATGATAAATATAACTACATGTATTATTTCTGCCAGATGGCAACAGTATGGGTCCACACCTAAACTAGCACAGAGCAGCAATAGGGAATGTTTAGCAGTGGATGGTCATCTTTACTCCATTTGTCTTCAACATTCAAGAATCCATCTCAGCCAGTATTCAAATTCTTCATTGATGAGAGGAACTACTTACATGCCCATTATGCCAGGGAAATGCTTGTATGTGCTGCAGCCTGCTTCGTGTTTTATTGCATCATGTCCACACAAGTTGGTTCAAGTTTTGAATTTAATCATTGACCTAATGCAGATCCCTTTGATTTAATTATCAAAATTTAAATATATCTGCTTGGATGCAAAACTTAAACCCATATATACTGGTCTCCATCGCGATGAAAAGTGGGAAGAACAGTTAATATGGAATTTGTCATGGCCACACAGTGTTTGCTTACAGCACTGAAATATACAGTGTGAAAAATGTCTGAAGATCAGACAAGAAAGTCAACATTTTTTAAATTAAAATCTGTTGACATTTTCAGCAAACTCAAAAGACCTCTCTGCACTTCCCTGTTAATACAAATATTAGAACATCAGACATATTTAACACAGAGCAAATAAAAAACACCACATTTTTTTTTCTTTGAGTATTTATTTTAGAGAATGACAACAAATGTCAGCTCCATACAGAAATATAACAATCAAGTATTGCACAGTGTACAAAATTACACACACCAATAAATCTCCAGCTTTATACCCTAAATAGCAAAAGTTATCTCCCGTTACGGCTTTAGACAATAAAACAGATGCTTACATGAAATACTGTATAAAACAGAGGTTTACAGGAAATATTGTAGATTTCAGGACTCCCAGGTGAACAGGTACACATGTACATTATGAAATAGAAAAGGAAAGTCAAATTCTTTGTACCATACACATGATTTTTATCTGTTCAAAAACATGTCTTTTTCAATTCAGAACTCTGTAATTTTGAAAATGTGTCATTGTTAGTTCAGAATCCAGTGTCACATGGCAGTCAACTGTTAGTTGTCTCCCTTACCTCTCTAGTACACTGATAACGATTCACGATTCTGTTTATGTTGATGTATGAAATATAACTCATTATGAAATTACACAGCAATGAGAAATACAGAAAGTCATTAAAACAATATCATGATATTTATAAATGACAAAAAAATATTTCTGATGAAACTTTTTCATAAAGAACAGCACTTTTCCCACAATGAGTGAAGCACAGAGTTTCTCTAGTGCTCAACAGACAAACACCCAGACAAAAAAAACTTTTACACAGATTTAACATTGACATAATAATAATATACATATCAAGTTAAAGCTCAATGTAGAAATTAGTAGCTAATGAATAAACGTCATTAATTATCACAGAAACAAATCCCAGTACGAACTCTGTCTACATCTAATATCATACAGACATGTGCCAGTCACTCACAGGAAATCTTCCTTCTACACAAAAGATCTCCCAACACACGTAAACTTACACTGAATACCCCCTACAAGTAACAGACTTCCCTACAATACAACATCAAGTTAGTACACAACAATGTAGTTAAAGCTAGTTGACAAGCACATTGGGTCAATGTTTGACCTTTGACCTAATTATGGGTAATATTTAGGTCACAATTTGACCTCTGGGTATGTCACACTTCTACATCATTTCTGTTTGTAGTAACATCACCAACCAAAACACAGGGCACAGAGTCACAAACAATCATAAATGACTAGAAAGAGTTACAATATAGAAGTTTATAAGACAAGTCCTTTTCAAGGCATTAAATGAGAGTTTTCAGACCAATAAATCTCAGTTTGAGAAGGTAGATTGTCCCATCTCACCTGAATTTTTACATGTCAAACATGGAATGTCAGTATTACATTGTCTATATCAGGTATATACTATGCATGTAGCACAAATAAATTCTTATTCAAATTGGTCCAACCAAAATGATACAGAATATTTCACCACTGACGTCTTTCAATGTGTGAAGAGTTGCCATTATTATCACATGATTATTTTATGATCCATTCATAAGCCTGACCATTTATTTTTATCCTATCACATCCACGTTTTTCTCTGGGGGCGTACTTGAGCGTGAGGCTGCCTTTGGGGGTGAGGGGAGTGGCCGTCGGGGGCTGAGGGAGGAGGGCTGGGGGGGACTGGAGGCCTCCGCTGACTGACCGGGGCTGTTCTTCTGCTGGGGGGGACTATGTGTGGCTGACGGAGCCCTGTCAGGTCGGGTCTCCGGGATGCTTGATGCTGCGTTCGACTTCCCACACACATGGTGGTGGTTTTCCCAGTCCTTGTGTTGACAGAAGGAGCCGCAGTATCGAGCTATGTTACAGCCACTGCAGGTCTCGCTTGCCTTCCTACCACAATTCCAGCAGCTCTGAAAACCAGACGTAAAATCTTAATACTCGTACTTCCATTGAATGTGTCTATAATTTCCATTTGGTTGACAATTGCATTTATACAGCACTACCAAATGTCTTTTGATTTTTTTAAAGTTAGAACTGACCAATTAACTTTTCAATGAACTTTCTGAATGTAAACTTTAAGAACAGAAGAAATATCTGTGACTAAATTAGAGAAAAGAATACAGGAATCTTATACTGACCTCACTAGATTCCTCCTGGTGGTTAAACTGAGCCATCACCTCCTCTCGGACTTTTTTGCGGGTCTCGGACAGTGACCGTTCCATCTTGACGCGTTCTGCTGACACCATTTCCGTGGCCTTGTGTTCAGCTGCTGTCACAGCCTTCTGTAGTTCTAACATGGCCTGCCTCTTCACTTCCTGAACTGCTTCTTCTAACAAAATATCAAGATTTTAAAATTAAAAGTTTCACTGATAATGCTATTCTAAGTGCTAATTAATGTTAGGGTAATTCACTGCTACTCTAAGCACTAATTAATGTTAGGGTAATTCACTGCTATTCTAAGCACTAATTAATGTTAGGGTAATTCACTGCTATTCTAAGCACTAATTAATGTTAGGGTAATTCACTGCTATTCTAAGCACTAATTAATGTTAGGGTAATTCACTGCTATTCTAAGCACTAATTAATGTTAGGGTAATTCACTGCTATTCTAAGTGCTAATTAATGTTAGGGTAATTCACTGCTATTCTAAGTGCTAATTAATGTTAGGGTAATTCACTGCTACTCTAAGCACTAATTAATGTTAGGGTAATTCACTGCTATTCTAAGCACTAATTAATGTTAGGGTAATTCACTGCTATTCTAAGCACTAATTAATGTTAGGGTAATTCACTGCTACTCTAAGCACTAATTAATGTTAGGGTAATTCACTGCTATTCTAAGTGCTAATTAATGTTAGGGTAATTCACTGCTATTCTAAGCACTAATTAATGTTAGGGTAGTTCACTGCTATTCTAAGCACTAATTAATGTTAGGGTAATTCATATCTCAAAACAAATATACTGTTTTTATTCTTTATTTTCACGTAACTACGCGAGACAATGAGCTTGTGAAAAAATTCCTGCTAGAGCATAAAAATGTTCCTTACAATTATATAAAGGAATAACAACAATTCATGAAAATTATGCCTCACTAATAAAGAACCAATGACTATCTTGTGAAAATAAGGTGTCACCAAAATTTTGCGATAAACAGAATTAAGAACACAAGAACCCATCCTTACTGAGGGAGCAAGACAAAAAAAAGAAAACCTCCGTACCTGCTCTTCTTCGTACATCGCTGACGCGGTCCTCCGTCTGACGCAGGGTGTGAGCCATCAGGTCATTGGATTGCTTCTTCATGTCGACGTCCAGTCCCTCTGCATGTCGCCTCATCCACAGCGAGACAATGAGCTTGTGAAAAAATTCGCTCCTGGAGCATAAAAATGCTCGCTTCAATTATATCCACCATACCAATTCATGAAAATTCAACATGCCTCACTAATAAAGAAAAAACTTCAGATTATTCATTCAGCTAGCCATCAAAGCTTAAATGGGTATTGATAATACTGTAGATCACTTATTTTTCGTGACAATTTATTTTCGCGAGATAGTTATTGACTCTTTATTAGCCAGACAAAATTTTCACGAATTGAGGTCATTGCTCTATATAATCTTAAGGAATACTGGATACGCGAGAATGAAATTTTCGTCCACCATACCAATAATACAATTCAACATCTAGTTACGAAAAAAACTTCAAATTATTCTCAGCTAGCCATAAAAAGTGATTTAATATCTACCAGAGAAAAGTAAAATAAAGTTTTAGATGCATTTTCAAATCCATAAATACTCATTTCATAGCATGAAATTGTCAAACAGCTTTCAGCAGCTTGATTTTTAGTGACGAATTTATGTCCACCACAAAATGCAGTTTTTCACAATTATTACTACTAAACAATTTTTCAACCACAAAATCAAATCTCCATGAATCAATATATTTTCCACAAACCATGACAATTTTACCCCTGGAAAATATGTGATTGTACAGTATTTAATTTTTGCAAATTCAGTTAAATGATTCTATGAAAAGCCAAGAATTGAAATGTAATCCAAATTGTGACTATTGTGTGAGGTTTCTGAGCATTATTTCCGTAGGATTTCTACAGAGTCCACTTACAGTTTCCACGTGTCTCCAGTCATCGTCCATTCTTTCTAGAGGGTCAAATGAATCAGATCTGGAGTAATCTATAAAAGATTTAATGTATCATAATCAAAGGAATTCAATGTGGAGTAGGGCCTAGTCATTAATACAAATAATGCATCATCATCTCATTTAAGGATGGCTTCATATATGTGATATAATATTGAAAGCGTAATAATACATGCATTTTCTCTTTGTAAATTGAACCTTGTGTATTACATGTATACCTCGTAATTATACTTCACATCAAAATAAATAAATATGATAGATGTCTTGTGCAGTGTGTGTTCCTTGTACGTACTGACTATTATTGAAGGGAGGGTAGTGTATAGTAGGTACTGACTATTATTGAAGGGAGGGTAGTGTATAGTAGGTACTGACTATTATTGAAGGGAGGGTAGTGCCTGTCCCCGCCCCGATCTGTTCTCTCCCTGTCTGCCCGGTCACGCTCCACTCGTTCCCTCTCCCTCAGCTCTCGGGACAGACTTATGTCCTCTAATTTGATTGGTCCACTGTTGAGGTTAAGTACACCATTAGGACTGACTCTGGGGCTCACGGTCTGATGGCGCTTAGCGGGATTCATCGAGTCCAAACTCATCTCAAAACTGTTCTCCTTCCGGCTGTAATCAAAATATCTGAATATCAATTATGGTAATTAGATTCACTTTGGACAATAATTACTTACATTTTTCCTGTAAATCATACTTTATAATGTGATTAATATTCACAAGTAGATGCTATATAATTTGTAAAGCAGATACTCTATCTCATCTTAGATAACAAATATCAGCACTTATCGCCACCACTAACACAAAACAAATTGTTTCAAAATATGTACCATAATTATAACTATCCTCTTAAGAGAATGTTAATACAATAAACAAATGCATGACACTGCTTGACATTGCATATCTTTGCTAAGTGATTACACACTCTAAGCACTGAGACTGCTGATAATTTTTTTTGAAATTTTAATTTGGAACCATTGTAGTTTTAGTTTCAGAAACTTTGTATGCAAATGCCTGTGTTTAACTATATCACACAAAGATCCACCATTACCATTTGACTGTATAATTCTCCCTACCTGTCGGGGGAGCGACGTTTGCCATTTTCGTTGACGTCCACGGAGATATCCTGCGTCTCCGAGGGGGAGGGGTTCGAGGCGTCAAACAGAATGTGTTCGTTCTGAGCTAGGTATTGCTGGGGTGTCTGTTTAGCCATCCGAGCACAGTGTAACAGCTCTCTCTGAAGTAAAGGCAAGTTGGCCTGCAAGTAAACAAGTTCTCTTTTCTTAATTTCTTTTAAAAACTAAGATGATCAAGATAACTGTATTGATTTCCTTGGTGAGAAAACTAGTTATCTGACTCCAGGATAATGAAATCGACTTAAGACTTCAGTCAAAATTTTAATGCCATGTAAAATGTTTATTTTATTATTGATTTAATCATGTAATATATATATAACAAAATATTTTAAAGGTTTTAACTTAAGCTAAGATACCCTATATCTAATATCCTCATGATCCTTAAGCCTGATCTTTTAATGACAATTTATAGATAAATTCAGTAAACATTTGAAGAGGAAGTAAATTCAAAATAATCTTAAAGAACTGCTTAAGGATACATGTTAGATCTGTGAGTATAAAACTGCATATGTTATTTTTCAATATTCTTACTTTTAGAAATGGTATAACAAAAGGTCTCAGGGGAAAATTGGTAGCCTCCTGCAGCTTGGCATGGAATTCTTCTATTGACAAATGGGAATTCTGGAAAAGAAAAGAAAATCTTTAAATGGGAAGGAAGAAGACTTCCCTCTTAAGTTTCTCTTTCGGTGACAAATTACGAGATAATCACATGTGGTCCACTTGAGTATACCACTCGGATGGACTGAAGTGGGACCGTTTCTCTTTTTTGAATCATCTATCTTCATCATGTGTTAGGCATTGCTGTCACTTTAAGAGGTTTATTCACAAGTTCGGAAGCAAGTTACATAATAAAAAAATTGTGCATCATCACATATGAAGAATTTTGGTCAGAACACTAACCACAAGTCCTAGGACCAGTGTTCGGACTCGCTCCCCAATATCTGGTGAAATGTCGGAACCAAACTGTTGTAGGGTGGTCAGGAATCTCTTTAGTTTAGAGAGCTGCCTCGCTCCACAGGCTGGGGGTAGCTGCTGATTCATGGAGGAGTTGACCAGGGCTGAGGGGGAAGGGGTTCGTCCATTCATCAGCGATAACGGAGAGTGACTACCATTCACTAAAATTATAACAAAAAATAAATGAATTTCTGTATTAAAAATAAATAAATCAAACATATATGTATAATGTAGGAATTTGAGATTAAACATCTTAAGCTCTTCTTTTAAATTCTTACAAAGAAATTTTTATGTGAACAATCAAAGTGTATGCACGCAACCCAGTATTAGATCAGGAAGTCTTTCCTGCGAGACTCTATAATGGATACTGTGTAATACTCCAGATGCACGTCTTCCACTCGTAAAAATCACTTCACCAAAAAACATCAATCAAAGATGACGGAGTAAAAAAAATCAATGTGAACTAAATATAAATTACAGTTCTGACAGAATCCTCAGATGATAGTAAAAATATTACTAAGTCAGAGAATAATGACTGCTCCCTGCTGATACCTTAACAGCTGTTGTTGTAGGCCTACAGACATAAACAGAACATTTGATGTGTGTTTATCCCCCAATTAATGCCTCCCCCCATCATCACTACAGCCCGTTAAGTTTTCTCTGTGACCTACTTAGGTCTTCACCTGCTCCCGATTAGAACCGTTCATCTTCTGATTATTTGGGAAATTCCCTCAACACCTGTTTCAGGGCCATTTTTTTCTTATTTAGTTTATGGACTGAGCCACCTTAACATTGAAGGGGTCTTTGATAATTATGGCATCACACTCACTGCTCCCTTCAGTCAATGTATTCCAGGACACATGTTTTATTGCATGATTAAATTCTCACTGGAAACAGACAGCTGATTACACACAAACTAACAATAATGAATAAAGATGATCAATAGTGCAATTAGGGTCATAACTTTCTATAAGTCTCAAACTTGTATGCTCAAAAAAAGTGAAACAAGCTGTCTTTAAAAACATTGAAAAACTTCCAAAATAAACTCTGTTTAATAATCTACACGTATGTGTTACCAATTTTCAGTGTGATATATAAAAAATATCTCTTTTTTCAGCCAGAATATGTCTAAATAAATCTAAGCTATCAACTCTCGTGAATTTTTAAAGATTAACAGATTGTATCAAAGAGAGCTCTACTCTTATTTTAAGTTGATTTGCTTTAAGTCTGCTATGGTCTGGTATACTCAAGACTCAAGTTACAACTTGATCTTAATAAAAGACTAACAGCTTGATGAATCCTTAATCTGAGATGGTCGAGTGTGTAGTTTTTAGTTATTTACCTGAGAGATTTACCTGAAGTGAGATTTTTTTAACAACAACCAAACTTTCTGACTTAAAACTTGCAAATGTATGTTACATAATACACCTGATATTGGTGCCTTACAGTTGTGAATTTTGATCCGAGACCAATATAATTATATATTTTGTAAATCATTATATAATTTGGGTTGTGCCTGTCGGGGAATTTTTTCCTGATACTCAATATGTTACATTATTACTGAATGACTTTTGATTTATCAGAGATGCCCATCTGAGATCTTTGTTTAGTAAGAGTTGAGAATAATTCATGATTTGTACCTGTATTGTCAATCAGTCCTATCACTCCTATGTTTAGTGAATAAACCACCCACCTTGCCTATGTATTATGTATCTAATCAATATACCTGAATTTATTTGATTTACCTGAGAGACTGCTGCTCCCTGAGTGGGGTCTGGAGAGGTCCCTGGAGGGGGGGACAGGTACGGCCCCGCTGGTCATACTGGGGGAGGACTTTATGTCTGGGGATTCCGGCATACTGCTCTTTGTATCACTGCAATCTGAAATAAAAATAAAATCATACAAATAATGAAATCTGACAATTTTATAATTTCCTGGAACTATAAAGAAATAATTTTCCCTTTACTATACTGGAATACCTAAACACAGTTCAACAGAGATAAGGCAGAGAAACTATCTCAGCATCCACAAAGACAGCTAAAGACAGCTACAGATAGCAGGCAGTGTGATGGATAAGGGTGCATTGACAGGTGAGAGACTTAGAATGCCCCTCTCCACACCTGTTTCTGTCCGTCTCTGACCACCTTGATTACCAGAGCCCGTCAGCTGGCCACCAGATTAGATAATCCAGCTCTACCCTCTATAGGTCACTAATACACATTTTTTTAAACTGGCTCCAGTGAATCATCAAGTGAAGGGGAGGAAACCCATACTTACAAAACAAACTTCCCTTTTCCGGCAAAATAATTCGTTTTCCTGTCTGTAACAAGCTAGAGTTATGATGACACACAATATTCCTCCTCCAATTAAACAGTTCTGTGTGCTTCTCCTCTCAAACTTTACTTACATTCTATTTTTATCTTCAAGGGAAGGAGTACTAAGTTACTTCCCAAAAATAGATTGTCGGTACTGATAAATAACAATTAATATTCCTATCAGACATAGACAGACAAATAATCATTATTATCATCAAATAAAACGATGCAATTCAACGGTTCAATAAATATTTCATTGCTGAGAAATATATATTTCTTTCCATACTGTTCTCATTTTCTTCTATGATATTATGAGAAAAATCTCAAATTGACCAATTGCCCCATTCCAATCAAAAATGAATATTTACCATTTTCATCATTAATTGTATGCAATGTAACCACCATGCTTTATGACTGTATCAAGAATTCCTGCACATTGCCTATCTATCGTCAATCATAAATACATCTACAATCCACACTATTAGAGATCGTAACACAAACAAAATACTGTCCCCTCTCTCCTGCATTGACTTCTTAACACTGTATAAGTGAGGGCAGATGATTATTTTAATCTTAAGATGACAGATGACAAGGCCGCCACCATGTGCCACAGTTATGCCTGATCGAACCCTCAACCTGGCACCCGTATCCTCAAACGGCCCAATTCACGTCCCCCGCATCGCAGCAGTTTACAGACAGGAGTCCCCGCCCACCCCCCAGACAATGAGCATTGTTACAGAGTTACAATCTGTGGAGGGCTGCTTACTCACCCGTGACCACTAGGACAGGTGACATCCTCACTCGGCCCATTCACAAATACTTCACCTATACACACATTTTTAACAATTAAATGCTTCCTATTTTAAAGGTAATTTTACCATGCACTGTTTTGAATCTGTGCATCATATATATTGCATAAAGTATTAAAAATGTGTGCAATGTATTATTGATGACTTTGTGCCTTGTTATGGGGTTGTTATTTCAGAATCAATATGTTTTAATGTTGGCCCTGATCACCAGCTGTTCTGCCTCTCTCTGAGACTGTTTCACATCTGTGCTGATCAAATCTTGAAACAGCTGTTCACCTTTTGTGTTTGTTGCTCACCTTGGCAGGAATCATAAGAGAGCTCTAATTCAGTGTTACCTGTCATTCTATTTTGAAAGGTGTAACAATTAGAATGGGAAATTTAGGAATGACTATTTTGGGAAATATTAAATTCTATTTGGATTTCTTCACAAAAGCTCACATTTTTTTCAAATATTTCATTAAATTACAGAGTTGCAATACATGAAATTACGTACATACATCATGTATATATAGAGCTTAGACACTGCACATCAATTATTGCCCCCAAAATAAAGAATTTTTTTAAAATGATTTTTCAAAGAATTATAGAAATTAAAATAATTTTTTTATTGCAATTATGAAGCAAAAAATCAATCTTGTATGGATATAATAAAATTTGGAAAAAGTCTAAAAAGATTGTGCAAAAATATAAAATAAATTGGAATATTATTCTTCTAAAACTTATAATTATATAATCTGCATATATATTGAAAATTTTTTTCAGCCATAGAAAAATTGGAACATCTCTCCTTTTTACAAAATTTTTTTCAACTTCATTATGCTCATGCAAGTTCTTCATTGACAGCAGTATAATAAATCTATAGCCCTCACCTTAATATTAGATTAATCTCATGACACCTTCTTGCACCAGAAATAAAAAAAAAATCCCAAACGTCTCACTAAAACACGGCAAACACAGACCGATCTCCACCCAGGCCTTTTCCGTGTCTTACTATTGCTTCAAGCACCACAACAAGCATGTGATCCAATTGTCACAAGTAGTTAAATGGCTACTTGAAACTTGAGCAAGTATTTACTTATGAAAATGATGAGGATTTTACCGCGTGTTTCCTCTGGTCTAGATGTAAAAGATTTAATTCTGTGTCAATTGGTTGTTCACAATCAGATGATATACCAATCTAAATCAAGCTTATCACTTTTCTATCATCAAGAATTATATTTTTATAATCACAAATTAATGTCATAAGAGTTTGTTGCGATTGATGTCCAATAAGAAGTATTTGTTTCTGAAGTGGCGGTTTGATTTCCTGGTATATATTGTTTGTCTTTGTATTCCGCGTGCCTGCCTTGGAGCAGAGCAATAGGTTCACTGAACAGCTGATGAGGAGCCTGGATATATACACCAATGTGGATTTCATTGATTGTTGGAAGAAAGCAGTCACATATGGCAGGAGCGCCAGTAGAACTTTTATCATCATCACAAACCCTCTTGGGGTATTTTAAGGAAAATCAATCCGCTGTGTGACTACCAGCTAACCTCTCTATATAACTGTTCCTCATTTTTCAAGAATTTCAAGGAACTGTACGTATAATAGTGAATCCAGAGGAGCATAAGAGACTTCATGTCATTATATACTCATTAAATAGGTTTAACTTGAAATTTGTACATGATGTGACAACAATAATAACTTTCATTTCCAAGTTGAATGATTCTAATAAATTTTGAGATTCTAATGCATTAGCATTTATCTAATAAAAATATATTAAAATACACAAAATTGTTTTTCTGCTTATGAAAGGCATTTTTTTTTTCCAAAAAGTGCCATTAAAAAAAAATATTATCAGAATTATACAATGGTGTTACACTTAAATTGCCAGAGAAAGACAAACTTTATATACTAGCATGTATATTTATATACATGTATTGACACATTAAAAAAAAAAAATAACTTCAGCTGTGAAATGTATGAAAATTGACCAATCATCACTTATCTCCCTTTAACACAGCTGCCGTTATTCGGGGGAACATCTGGCTGCGGCAGGCCTCGGAGACACAATTACGATTAACTCTACCCTAAAAGGCTGATTCCAAACCACTCAATATCTAGAATAATCCAAGAAAATTCCTCGCAAAATTAAATAACAGGATGTGCATCTGTGTTCATTGTGTGGGGAGTGCAGCCATTGTCTTGACAAGATATTCTTTCTGGACTAGCTATCTTTACGTTTCACAACACCTTTGTACCTCTTTGTAACTAAGTTTTTATTACTTAAATCCAAAATATTTTGAATTTTCAAATAACATACAAATAAATACAAGCATTTATACATTTTTGGAGATTAAAAATTCATTTTTTAAATAAAAGCAAAGGTAAAATATGCTGATTAATCAAGTCAAAATATATAAATCAAAATGACTTAATACTGAGAAAAGGAGTCCCTTGCAATTCCCTTACATTTGCGAAGTGGATTGCATAGAATTTTTATTAGTTCCAGAGAAAATAAAAATATAGCCTGAGAAAATACGCAAAATCTACTGCGAACTTTCTCTAATGTTGGACACATGGAACTGCTAATTGTTTACAAGATGGACTCGTTTCTTTTTGTATCACATGCGTTATGTATTAGACAATAATATTCTTCACACAGTGGTATTTAGGAAAAGAAAGTTTAACAAACGGTGGACATTTGGTTTTCATTTTCTTCTATTAGGACTTGAAAAGAAAGGCAGGGTTCCAATGTACACCAGTCATTTGTTCATTAGCAGGTTTTTAGCTTCAACATCTTGCTTCTTTCTCTTGAACAAGGTTATTGAATTGACAGGCTAATTAGAATTCTTCCAAGTAATATTCTTGAACAGTTTAAAATACCTATCTATATTTGTGTGTTTAAGATGTAAAAAAAAATTACAAAAAGACAGAATTCTGTCTCTGTACCTCTGTTTAAGTCTCTAAGAATGTCTGCTATTTTCTGATATCATTCAGATTTTTCTCCTTAGAATTCGTGGATATATCATAATGGCAGCCTACATTGTACAATAGTTTTAGGATGAAATCGCAATTATTCACGGCTCTTATTAAAGTGACACATCTACTGAGATTAATATATGATTACTGGATTGTCCTGGGATTTAAGATCTACTCACAATAAATAATTGATTCAATGTCAACTTATAAAAATCCACTTCACCTGCAGATTTCACCTTTGATGTCCCTGAAAATCAATTGCTATCAATTACTGCATTACCTATGGTTCCGTTTAATGGAATTTCTGTTATATAGTTCAAACATCTGACTGATAAACCAGGGAATATGCACATGTATACCCTTTGTTACTAAGAGATTTTATTAAGGAGGAAGAAATTAATTGTAAGCATAAAACCTTATTAGATATTAAATGATTGATTTGTACACTGATTACCACTAATTTTTGGTGATATAAACATATTAATTTTTGACAAGTCTCATATTTTATCATTTGTTCCAATTACTGTCTTTCAGGGATATCAACTAAACCTAACAGTTTTAAAATTCATAAAATAAGTGATGCCAACATTCAATATCATAACATAGAATCTGTTGGGTTTATATATATTTTTTACATATCCCTGAGTGCAAAAGGAATTGATATTTATGATACACCTCTTATGAATTTTACACCTTTTATACCAATGACCTTGAATTTGAAAGAATGACCAGGTCAAGGTCATGACACACTTTCAGATCATAAGTAATATCTCTACAAAGTTTGAGCTTCCAATGATTCTCTGTTACCAAGTTCATTCCAGAAATAGAAAAATAATACTTTTTCTGTCAATGACCTTGAACCAGAATACATTGGGTCAAGATCATGACAAATTTGAAGGGCATTAGCAATCTTTGTACCATTTATTTGCTTACAGTGATTCCGCATTACAAAGTTATGTCCCAGATAATTTTTTCCTCTAGTGACCTAGAACTTGCATGAATGACCTTGGATCAAGTTAAAGAAACACCCTTGGCTCATAAGCAAGGTCAATCATCATACTCATTATAAGCTTACAGTATCTTGCCATAACAAAGTCAAAATTTTGGCACTCGAAAAGAATTTTATACTTTTTCAGCAAGTGATCTTGAAATTGCCAAAATGACCTCAGGTCAAGGTCATTACACACCCTTAGGCCATAAGCACCCACCCATCCATTTCACCACTTCCATAAATGGAATTCTCCTATTAGAGGGAAAACCTAGTAGTTAAAACATATCAAGCATAAAGTAACCAGAATTATTAGGAATTGCTTTAAAACAAAGTTTCCCAAGCAAGCTTGGAAATATAAGTAAAACTTGATTATCATAAATCTCTGCACAGACTTTAAAGCAATATGAGCTGCATTTTTGAAAATTTTATTTTGCTAGTAAAATGTGTTATTATGATCAATCTGTATGTAATCTGAACCCTTATGATCAATAAAACCAAAATAAAGTTTAAAAATGTTTCAGAAGAAATATTTCTGTACAACCGAATATACAGTATTATTAATATAAGAAATCATAATTGCACAGGACAACAATAATTCAATTTTGCTTTAATCAAAGCATAAAAAAAGTTCTTTCATAGCAAATATGAACAACAGAAGTTTATAAATGTTCTATTTTTCTGTCATTGAAATAGTTAATAATCAAACATGCACAAAGTTTTTGTTCTTTATATCATATCTTATATATCTTTTAGTTAATAAAAATTTTTTTTTTAAATATATCAAGTCTCCTATGGGGTTAAAAAAATAACTTAAGGTCAAGATCTAGTAAATGAAAGGTGCCTACAGATTTATCTAATGTGAGAAATAAATTCCTTTATTGATGCTTTACAACTTTAGTTTTTGTATTTTAA